CATCACGGGAACTCTCAATTCTTGATTTTCATTGGTCGTATCCGACAAACATTGCATGAACGTGCATCAAACTTTGCGTGCCCACCGTCTAAAATGGAAATGATCGTCATTGTTTATATTATTTCAATACGTATTTATGTTTTTTAAAAAAAATACTGTTAATTAGTGAGTGTTAAGGTAAGAGTAGAGCTTTAGAAAAAAATATACTAACATTTTGCGAGGAATTTTTTTTGTTAAAATTAAGTAGTTAGTTTCATAAGTGAAATTTCAAGATAAAAGTGATTTTTTAAAAAAACGATTAATGTTTTTAATTTTAACATTACACACAGATCGTTTATATAAATTCGATGTGATGAACACTGATTGGATAAAAAGCATGATTTCCAAATCGGGCGGTGAGACATAGATGTATGCAAGTCCTTACTATGCTTCGGACAATAATATTATCAAAGAAAAAAGAAGTATGTGTATTCTAGGCCATTTAATGTGTCTCTAGCATCAAATTATTTCCTTGCTCTTTTATGCTTATTGTAATTTTAATTCTGATTGCATAAACATTTTGTACCATATAACAATTTTTTTTTTATATAGAATGCTAAAAATTTCAAATTCTTTACATGGAATGAAAATTATTACATCATTTAATATATGGTGCAGTAATTATATGATTGTAACTTCTAATAATTCACACCAAAATTTTTTCTGGCACATGATTTTTAGCCAATTAGATTGAAAGATCAGGTGTAATGTAAAATTAAAACAATCAAATACACGAAAACAAAACAATCGAATAAGCAAAAGATTTAATGCAATAAATATCATCTTAGAGTTAGAATTAAGGTCAAGGGATAGGCATAGATTATATCAAAATTTTACAAAGAATTATTTTTGTTAGAACATGTAAAGCAGTTTTATAAACAAAATTTCAAGTTATTGGCGATTTTTGTAAAAGCTGTAATTGTTATATTATATTTGATCCTTCAATCTAATTGGCTAAAATCACGTGCCAGAAAAATTTTGTGTGTGAGCTAAAGGGGTTTTCAAGAGGTCATATCCACGTGACTTATACAGATGATTTTGTTGGGGTTTTATTTGGAATTTGAGATATTACATAATTAATTTGATCTATAGTTAATTTAGCAATTGTTAATACACTAAAAGATTTTATTCACTTTATCTTACTTGTTTCTATCTTACTAAATATATGAAAAATCTTTTGGGCTCTTTCTTTTCTTTTCCAAATAGTAGCTTCAGAAGTACCATTAGGAAGTTGTTTTTCAATTTCTTTTTTAACTTCGCTATTAGCATTATTTAGATTATATAATTTTTCATAATAGAATTTGAAGCGTTTTGCTATATCTAATCCAAAGTTATAATACTGGATAATTATATTCTGGTTTGGCTTTTGAATTTTACTTTCAGCAGAAGTAATTTTAGTATATAAATTAAGAAAATTGATAGGTTGTAGGTCAGTTTTAGTAGCTGTTATGAGATAAGAATTGTTGGTATCTAAAGTGGTTTGTTTTGTGTCATTATATAATAATTCTATAATGAGCTTTCTTACAGTATTTAAATCTTTTTTATCATCTTTTTCTATATTTTGTTTTGGTTTTTTACTGAATAATTTATTTTTAGTAGTATTTTTGCTAGGTCTTTTTTGAGTCTGCTTTATATAATTTGAATATAATAAAAGATTTGATAAGTTGATATTAGAGACAGAAAATGTTATTGCTTCTGAGATTATTATACCCTAGCTCTGCCCAGATACTAATTGTGGTGAAATTTGTATTAGATCAGTAGTACTTAGTATATTGACAATGTGCTTAATTTCTATTGCACATTTTGGGCATTGTGAAAAATCTTTTGCATAATACTCAAAACAATTGCAATGAAATATATGGCTACAAGTGAGTATAATAAATAGTTTTTTAATTTTTTCATACAGAAAAAGCTCTTGTTTATATTTTGAGCATAGGTCTAGTTTTGGAACTTTAATATCTTTTACAATAGCATCTGGTAAGCTATTCTTAAAAATATTCAATGCAAGAGTTTTGAGACATAAAATATTTTGGAAGATTAAGTTAGTAGACATATTCAAGAGTAAAATTTATATAATTAGATTTGTACATGTTAATATAAAGTATAACCAGATAAGTATTTCACAACTTTCTTTATGCTTAGCTCGTTTTTATACATTAAACCCTTTTATAACTAACAAACCTATTTTGTAAATTTTAAGAAATCTAATTTCAGATTTGGCAATCTGTTTATTCACAAATTATTTAGTATGAGATGATCACTTGATCTTCACTAGCAATTGTGAATAAAAATTTTAGTTTAAGAGTATCGAAAAAATAATTAATATAGTGAATGAAACCTTATAATGTTTCAAAGTATTTTATATATGAATCTAGACAGTTTTTGTAATTATAGTCTTCAATATTGGTCAATATTGCATTTCTAATTTTTTTACTAAAGATCACATTTTTATTTAATAAATACCTATAAATTTCTGAATTAGATATTTATTATTATTAAGAAGAAGAAAAAAAAATTATTATAAGAATTGTTTTCTTTATATTGGTTCATTGAGTAGGCTAGACTTGATGATTCCGATTATATTTAAGACAGACAAGACGTATATTTCTTTCAATGTAATCTAATTTATTATCAATTCGATTATTGATATTCTGGTTTTAGTTCAAGCATTATTATTCTTTTTTTGGCTTCCTCATAAGATATTCCCCTTGCTATAAATTTCTTATATGCAATAATACGCTAATTCCCAAAAGCTAATGTGGTAATTCTATTTGATAAAATCCATCTCTTTGTATCTAAAGGGCTAATACCAACTTTAGATAAACGAAGAAGTCTGATAATATGATCTTTACTTCCTAATCTATATATTGTTACTATATATTTTTTCGAGATTTTAAACAATCTTTATACATATTTGAGTAAAGTTCTTTTTGACTACTACCTTTTGTATCCCTTTAGCTCTTTGATCTGTTTTCCCATTAGCAAGAATATAACTATAAAGCTTAGGTCTTGGTTTACAAAATTTTCACATAGCAGTATCGCAATTTTCATCCTTAAACTTACTAGGAACTTTTTTTATTCAAGATAATCTTTTCTTTTCTAAGAGCTTTGTATATAAGATGTTCTGGCTTATAATCGCTAAAATTAAAATGTTCATGCATTTCTGCCATATCTTTATAAATATTCTTAGTTCGAATAAGTAATATAAGAAAATCAGTATCAGTGTATATCACTTCAACATTATCTTCATATCATTTTTTTATAATATTATAATAGAAATTATATATGATAATCTTACTTTATCAAAAACAGATATACCAATAAAGATAGGTTTACTAAGTCTAGCTTTTAATTGATGACAAGAAATACCTACTAAATTATCTGCTAAAATTCTATATGATTTATAACTAAGATCAGCTACTAATTTTTTAAACGTTTTAACAAAATCTATTCTTTGATATTTGCATACATTCTTTATAGTCTTTCTATAGTTTGCATTACCAAGGAGCTTATATATATTTTCTCAAAATCATTCTTAGCTAAAGCACGAGATCTTGTCAATTCATTCATAAAAGGCTTCATCTATAGGCTTTGATTAAATTCTATAGCTTGGTGAATTTAATAAGTACCATTTCCTGCTTTATATAAAATTGTAATGCTCGATAATGAACTATATACTTTTTCTTATTATTGAGATTTGAAATGAGTTTCTTAGTCTTTGTATAATATTTTAAATCATTAATAATCTTTTGTTCACGCTTACTTATTTCCTCTTTAGAAATCTTGATATTTTCAGAAGCTAAAGGATATGAAGTATGAGCTTTGTGTAATTTATATGGATAGTCAAGATCAACTTCCAAAATATAGTCTTTTTCTGCATTATCAGAGATCTTTTACTTGGTAATTTTATTAAAAAGGTCTGGAGTTTCTTCTGAAGTTTCTTCTGGCATTATCCATCTATGTCCTTCTGTTGGCATAGATTGCATCATTGCTCCAGTATATAATGTATCAACATATAATAGCTAAATATAGAGTTTTTTTATAGCTTCTTCTGTTTCTGAAACAAAATTAGAACATTGTGGGTTATTAGCTTTAACTTGACAATTACTTACCATTGAAATACCTTCTTGGATACCTTTCTTACAGAAGAGGTACATATTATCATCAATAAATAGCTTAATCTCTTGTTCTGTAGTTTTATATAAAGCATCTTCTGCAAATGAAAGGAGAGAAACATAGTGAGCAATATCTAATCCAAATTTACTTTTCATTAATTTGCGAAATCCTTCTAAACAATCTGCTAATAATAGTATGTCAAGATTAAGATAAAAATTATAATAATCTCTAAATATTATTATATCAAAAGATTCCTATATCTCCTGTGCCATTTTTAGACTTTTTCTGAGTATTTAGATTTGTTAAGAATACTGTCAAAAGCCTCAATAGGAAGAAGAGAAGTAGCATCTATTTTTTCTGATGTATTAAACCAATCATATGGGAAAGAAGCTTTATGAAATACTAAGTCATCACTTCCTTTTGGTCCATGTTCTTTAGTTATAGAGAATCTCTCTAGATAAGCAAAACATCTATCTGAGTCAATTTAATAAAGATGACTAGGCTTTTTATATAGTAAGTTTAAAGAATTTTATCTTTATTTACTTCCTCTTTACATGATTCAGCTTCTAAATTAGATATATGAGAATTAAGAGATCTAGGCATAAGTTGTAAAGAATTCATATATCTTTGATTTCTAATATTAAGAGTGAGATAACTTTTCATATTATTAGAAATTGTGCTTATCTTTTCTCTGCTTACTTGTCTCATAGCTTGAAAAATAAGATGAGTATCAAATTTACCTAAATTATGGAAATAAATTGGTAATTTAAACTCTTCTGGTTTGATTCGTAGTTAGAGATTACAAATACTATGAGCTGGACCTCTATAGTTACCTGTAATATGGTCATAGTCTCAAACTTTTTTAAGATTATTTTCTTTTCCAAATGGCTTTTCACATATCCAACATTTTTTAGCTAAATTATGTATTTTTTCTTCTTGAATAGTTAATTTTTTCATTGGTTCTCTAGATTATCAGAGTCTACAATAAATTGTATTTGCTAAATGATACATTATTTCTATATCTACTCCAAAGGAATATCTTTTATAAGCTTGATAAAGACTTTTTAAGTAATGTTTAAGATGAATTAATTTCTCATATTCTTTACTGAAATTAAGATTAATTTTACCTAATTCCTATGATTGAAATATATTAATACTGATAATATAATCTTCTACTATCTCTTTTGGTATTATTCCTGATTGCAACATTTTGATTAATTTCTTCACAGAATTTTGTATTATATGACCTCTTGCGAGAAAGTCTTGACATTGTTCTACTTCTTTTTCTATTGCTTTAATAAATTCTCTAGCAGGATCATCATCTCTAATTTTTACTGGTGCTTTGGTTTTGCCATTACTATGCCTAATTATATAATCAAATAATATAACTTTATGTTCTTTAATTTTTTTCAATCAGAGTAGAGAGAGTTTTAGCATTTGTTGTACAAGTAAAAGATATATCATATTATCTAAATTTATATATATTCTTGTCTACCAATAGTATTACTGTTCTTTGGACTGGAGTATTAATTCCTTTACAATCTTTCATATGCTAAGTATCAATCTTGGGGTCATGGGTTCGGTGGCTTACACAATAATCACAAACATATAACCTGCCAGGTTGATCTTTAGTACAGGTGGGCATATATAATTATTATACAATTATAACATATATAATATAATTATTTTGTATTAATTTAAGTAATTTTATAAATTATTAGAGTCAGGTTTAAGGTTAGAGTCTAAATTAGCTCAAATTAGTTAGGTTTTATATATTATAATCTTGTAATAATTTATATATGCCCACCTATACTAAAGGAGATCCACCTGCCATTGTGTTTAGTTGTATTTTCAGCTAATTTTTCTAATCCTTCTCTTCCTTGAATCAAACAATAATGTTGAGATGGTTTTCCTGTTTTAGGATCATCTCTAGTAATTAATAAAAGCCTAATCAATTTACATGGTTGACAATTCTCTTCTTTATAATTATATCTATTATGTACTTTAGATTTAGATGTAATTCTAATCGAAATAAGTTCCTTTTCACTTCATCCATAAATTGATACTAATATAGACAGATTCTGTTTCTCAAATTTCTCTATTGTATTATTTGATATATCTTTTATATCAACTAGTTATAATCAACTGCTTAGCTGGATTAACCATAGCAACAAAGCATGGAAAGCTCTCTACCATATACATAATTTGGAAAACATTAAAGAAATAAGGTAGCAAATTAATGACAACATCTCAAAAAGATGTAATAAGCTTCACACTAACCCAAAATCTATGATAAATAGTATACTCGATCAACATAAAGATTCTGTCAAGTTTGATAATATTAAATTATCACTAACATACATAATATTAAATCACATATTCAAAAACATTTTGACCAATAGACTGGCCTTTAGACTATTGATCAAACTATTTATAATCAAACTTGGCAAAATGAATACCAACCTCTAGATCATATTAACTCAGACTAGTATCAAAGTGCATTTTTCGAGTTTTCAATTAAGGAGGTATCATCTATACTTGTACAATTAACAAATAACAAAGCTTGTAGTCCATCAGACATCAGTTATGAGATGCTTAAATAAACAGGCTTACCTTTTCTTTAGGCTATTACATCCTTATTCAACAGATGTATTACTACCAACAAAATTTCTAAACAATGAAAAGAGAGTAAAATCTTTCTGATCTCTAAAAAACCAATTTTTGATGGCAATTTGGTTAACACTAGACCTATAAGTCTATTTGAACACATTAAAAAACTATATACCAAACTTCTAACTAAGCGACTCAATCTTATATTTACTACACATCAAATTCTCTCATCTTTTAATTATATTGCATTATCTGAAAACAGTACCTCTATTCCTATTCATATTCTCAACAATATTATTGAAGATGCTGCCTGTAATTTAAAAGAGCTTTGGCTAATATCTCAGAATATGAGCAAAGCTTATGATTCTGTTAATCTTACTCTTTTTTATAAATCTCTCTTATAACTAAATATGCTCTTACAATTAATTAAAATCCTTACTGACCTTCTAACCAACCAACACAACAGAATTATCTCTAATCTTGGCCTTACTGATTTGTATCAAGTTCAAAATAGAATTGACTAAGAAAAAACAATTACTTCTTTATTTTGGAGGATCTATTATAACCTTCTAATTAATAAAGTAGCATCTAGTTCTACCAGATACACTTTATCTACAAAATGACAGACTAACTTACATTCTACCGCTAGCCACCATCTTCAAACCTCTATATCTGTATTAGTCTTTATGGATGATATACTATGGATAGCTCAATCTAAAGAAAAGATAGAACATATTACATCTTTTACAAAATTCTTTTACCAAATGGCTAGCCTTCAGGTTAATCTATCTAAATCTGTATTTGCTACAAGCTTCAAACCTACTACTATATCTTTTATTAACTCCACTCTAAACTCAATACCAATTAATAAACTCTTTAAATATCTTGGTTGTTGGTTTATACTAAACAACAAACAATCAGAACAAATTAAATATATTCAACAAGAAACATACCAATTAACTTATATAGCAAATACAAAGAAAATTATTAACACAAATTGCATATATTATAAACACTGTTATTATATCAACTCTTGAATTCAGAATATATAATGTAGTACTATTCTATACTATATGCAACAACATTTTAGCAAAATATCTCACTATTGCCAAACACAAATCATAACATTCTAGATCAATCCCTAACAGTACTATGTTAAACTCATATTTATATAATATTTGTAATATTTGGAACATACAACTACAACATTATATTTCTAACTTTTGTTATGTATCAATAATTCTAATATATTAGGTACTACTACTCGAATTAGACTATAACAATTTCAGAATAATCTATGGTCTAGGACTAATATATTATAATATCCTGATTCTATAATCGATGAACCTAACAAATTCACTCTTAATTGCAAAATCATACAACTTCTTGCTCAGTTACAATTGAATATCACAGCTAATTCCAACTTTTATAGCCTCATACTATTTAGTATGATCTACAATCTCTAGAGACAATTCTTAAAGAATACCTTTAAACAACAACTCAGAAAATATAAAATTCTTTCTTTAGAACAACTTTGCACAGCAGACAATATAAATCTACTAGATTAGACACATTTATCTCTCAGATTTAAACACATTCTTAAAGAAAACTACCTTTGTGGTTTAGTACATTAGAAGACTTAGTATTTGAAGTTAAACACAACTATATACTACTTAACTAGTACCAACAAACAGAAACTAATGTCTTTGCTATTAGTTCTTACTCTATTCCTAAAAAATCTAAGCCCTGGATAATTATTATAAATGACAAGGAAATCATTTTTGGAAAAATTTACAAACAATATTCAGATACTAAAAAAGTCTCTATTATACACTGACAAGCAAATTTCGATCTTAGTATTACTAATTGTTACTCACTTCTACCAATTTATTATTCACTTTGTTCAGAATGCTATCTCAATTTTAATAGATTAGATTTAGTTTGTACCTTAAAAATATCTACTATTACATCTGCCAAATTCTTTGAAAGAATATTTAACAATCAACTTAAATTTAATGTCAATTATATGGACCTTATTTTATCTATAGCTATTAAATATCCACTACCAAACCTGGTTTTACCAACACCACCTACTATACCAATAATAGACTCAATTGTAACTTCAATTTTCTTTCTAGAGAAATAAGAAACAAACTTGAAGAAATATCAATTAATAACTTGAACTCTAATCTATTTAATTTCTTTACCGATGGATCTGTTATTAATATTGGTACTGACCAATGGTCTATAGGAATTGGCTGGGTTCAAGTTAATAATGATAATCAAATGACCTGTCAGTTTAATGCTCAAATTAAACTCTG